AGCGAGGTTGATTGAAAGCTTTGACTTCAGTGGAAAATGTGACGCCTGTCGCCTTCTTCTTTGGCGCAGCTTTCATTATACGACAATTACTGACAACGTTGTCTCTTTTATGTTGTTGTAGTGAGGTTTGCTATTGGATTCCCGGATGGCCCATCGCCCACGTATGACAAGGCACGTCTTCAACTTCGAGGAATTCAAGTTTCGCTCGTGGAATATCGTTTGTTCGATACATGTTCAGTGATTACGAAGCCTTAATACGATGTCACATGAAATTTGGAAATTTGATCCCATTAATGTTACCCTATTATTTTGTATTCAAAACCTCACACGTAGTGACTGAGGCATGTGCAAATTACGACCAATGAGCCAGTTTTTCCGTTAGTCCTAATTTCACACTACACCGGATTAAAATATGTGAGAAAAACAAACACAAATCGACAAAATAAGCTTTCATCTAGATTTTCGCTTATCGTAGATTTTTGAGTCAATATTCCTTACTGGAAATGTAAATTTCTTTTTCGGGGTTCTGTTTATTTTTAAGCTCTGGCAGGAGCTTCTACATGTCAATAGGTGGTCGATCGGTCGGTCGGTTGGATGGTCTGTCCGTCTGTGTGTCTGTCCCCGGAAAATTGACCAAAAGTATGGTGTTTCATATATGTGCCATCGGTGTCGCATTTTTGGCATCGAATTTGTTCAGCTCTGGCAGGGATCATTTTCATCGATTTCATGCAAGACTTTCATGCACGACCTCTTGCAACAAGGCCAGAGCTTATTGTGCACTCGCACTTGCGCTGTACAACAGGCTCGAACAAGGTGGACGCCATTTTGTGTAGTGGTTGGACGGTTTCCAGAAGGAGGACATGCCCCCCAAAGGTGGGCGGGGTTTGATGTTTAAGCGCTGGCAGGAGTATCTACATGTCACTTGGTGCTCGGTTGGTCGGTCGGTCAGATGGTTTGTCTTTTCCAAAAATTTACTAAAGTAAAGTGTTCCATATAGTTCGATGTCAGTTTCAAATCAATTTTGACAAGGTTATATCTCCCTCCTTCCCTTAGCTTTTTCAACCGAGTGGCGAAGACGCGATCGACTGATAGGGAGACTACACATGCTGAGTGTGATCGTCACGATTGCTTTTTGCCCTGGGACTGAATTTCCTTTATTAAGGGAATAATAGGGCCTCTTTGTTTCATCCCAGATCCTGATCGAGATCATGTGATCCAGCGCCGTGCGAAAACAAGGGAACACTCTCGCGAATCCTATAGGCGCACACGAATGTCGTCTACTTCAGATCTTGTACGCAGAAGGGCTTTATTTATGATTAGCTATGAATAGTTAAAAAAAAAAAAAAAAAAGGAAAAAAAAGGAAATCAATGGTACTATTTTTAATCAAGAAAATACTTTCTAAAAGAATTATGAAGACAAATTATCACAAAAGCCCATTTCATGCTTCAAATCTACTAAGAAAAAAACACTTGTTCTCTCCGTCCGTCGCGCACGTCAACATCTTTGATCTTGCGAATCCAACTCGCGAGCAGGTTCCGTTAAAACGTGATCCGGAGCAGCTATGATTGTCGTGCCGGATCACTGATTGCGATCCAGATCCGTGCGACACAAGCATGCCCTGGTGTGACAGCAGTTTTAAACGTCTGGTTTAAAACCGGGTGTAGGGGCTGGTCGCCGATAATGTTCCGAGCCGGGGGTCATTAGGCCAACTAAATCTCCAGTTTCTGGTATGGAGCTTGCCCCAAAAGTGGTGCGGCGACGCGCCCTTTTTTTTTGGACTTTTTTTTTCACTTTTTTCCCTTCAAATGTCGGCTGATGACTGCAAATGATGGCCGACTAAATTTAGTGCAAAATGTATGGGAGCCCAGAATGGCCACATAAAGCTTATACTCGATCGTAACTCCATCAAAGAAACACGTTAAAATTGTGCAGCAGCAGGATTCAGTCAAACCAGTGAGTTTGGCGGTTTTGAGACATCATCTTACATTGGAAAAAAACCGTTTATTTTTGCCGACGTGCATGGCGACGCGCGCGCATACCAGAAACCGGAGACTCTTTTTTTTTGGCCTTATCAGCGACTATACCTCCACCACACTATTATTCCCATTCATAAATACCTTTTTGGTCCAACTTTTAAAACGTAGAAAAATTCACAAAACGTTCAAAAAAATAGAAACGAGTTTTAAGTTAGATTGATATCCATTATGTTGGGGCTATTTCTATGAACGGAGCAGTGAGTGTTTTCCCCTCCAAACAAAGTTTTCACTTTATAAACATTTACATTTTTCTCTCGAACTTCTGAACTTCAAAACTTTGAAATATAAATTTTCGCAAGCGGAAATTCAATGTCATTCAGGGGCCACCTTCATTTCTGGCCGGTCTTAAACACTTCCTGCCTGTGTTTTGTCATCTGTTAAAACCAACCAGGCGACGGCTTCTGTACCAATAGGAAATATGAATATTCCTTATGGGGTGCGTTCGTTTAGCTCACACGGGTCGACACGGGTCATCCCCGTGCCGTTCGATTAGCTCTGACGTTATCTCAGTGCTCACCCGGGTCAGCCACCACAGACCCTGCTCTTGGAGCAGAGTCACTGTTGGAAGTACGTCACGCATGCGTTGTTCATTCCCTAGAAACGGACAAATATGGCGGGTGGACAGCGGAAATCTCAAGTGGTCTTAAAAACTGGACTTTAAAGGGTAATCATTTATTGATTTCATTGCGACTTTTGAGACTATAATTTAAGCCAAACTGTTTTGAGATTTGCAATTGACTCAAAAGCAGTAAATCCCAAACTAAGACCCAATACGAATTGGGCGTTTTGTCAGTGGCTACGGCCACGGCTAAGGGCGTCACGTAAAGATCGTGATGGCCCGCGGTTGAGCGTTCGATAATAGACCCGCTCTCTTGGCTGACCCGTCTGCCTTTACCAGTGTCGACCCGGGTGAGCTAAACGTACTCACTCATACTATGAAGAAACTGAACGTGGCGCACTTGACCAAATTTTGGAGAGAAAAAATCCAAACTTAGCGTCTAATATTTTTTTAAGTAGACATATTTTGATTATCCATACCTTTCCACACTCATATAGTTCTACCCAAATACAAGTTTGTCAGAATTTTTTTTTCTTATTTTGGGGCGCATTCTGAAAGGGTTCATTGTGCACTTCAAAATAAAAATCGGAAAATCGCGCTAAAGCAAAATGTCTCTGCTAACTTTGCAATTGGTAGGTGAACTTACGATTTATGATTTATAAACGGGAATGTTGAAAGCTTGATGAAATTTCACTCACTGTGAAATTTGAGGTAAAACGTTTGCTCTAGCAAGGCACAAGAGGCGAAAAAAATGAAAGTGCGTTACGCTAGGAGCCACGCCACGTCAGAGTACATCAACAATACCAGGTCCCACGCTGGTTTTAAACTTTATGGCGATCTACAACGCACATGGGTGTGAAAGGGTTTTTTTTGTTTTAGAAGAAACACGTGTTGTCAGAATTTCTTTTAGAGCAGCTCAGACAATAGCAGCATTGGCAGGGCTGAAGAACATGGAGGGACAACAACATCACACTGAAGCGTTAGATCAGACTCCTGTTTGTGCTGGTATTTTCCATTTTGCGAGACATGGACTCTTACAGCAGAGCTGCTGCAGAGGAGAATTCAAACGATGGAGATTATGTGCTGCCGCATAACCATGAGCATCTCATACCAAGACCACATCTCCAATTAGTCAGTCCTGTCTCCAATGAAGATGTGCGCACGACGATCAGAGAGCACATAGGCCCACATGACGGCATCTTGACGACGGTCAAAAAAGGGAAATGAAATGGTATGGACACACCACCTCAGGATAGCTGATTCAATTACTCCAAACTAGAAAATGATGTTTAAATGATGATATTTTGTTTAAAGAAAAATTGGTTAAAGTGTTCAGATATTGCATGCCTGAGATCGCACCACAGAGCATCTAGAATCCAACATTTTCCCCACGCCGTTACGCCTTCGCTCTACACCCTCGCATTACTTTTAATTACATAGCTTCCCTTCCCTTCGCCTTCGGTGTAGGCGTAACAAGTTACCTTCACCATTTGCTGCATGTTATACATTTCACACCCCCCCCCCCCTTTTGGAAAATCCTGGATCCGCCCCTGGCGCCCCAAGGACTCCTCACGGAGTTATGAGAGCATTACCGACGGTTGTGTTCCCTCTGCTTCGGTTGTTCCCCGACCAGATTAGTTTATAAGTCACTACCCGGCAATATTAAGTAAACATCATGTCCCTAGACCCAATTTATCCTGAAAGCAACCCGATTTATTTGCAATGATCTGTTTGGTTAAGTGACCTAGCGAATGGCAAAGTTGCCATGGACAGGATGCACGATTAAGCACCAGTCTTGTAAACAATCTCACGTGCCACGAGCGGGAATGTAGGTGTAAAGTGATTGATTGGGGATATGTTCTGACGGCGGGATTCAATTAAACAAGGTGTTTCCAGCCGCCTCTTCTGACAAAAGATCCTATAAAAGTGGGCATGTTGTTAACAACGCCAACAGAATGGTTGATACAAACGGCACAACTAAGTCTAATGTTCACATCTTGTTAGGTATTGTGTACAAGCAACGCTCGGAATGCATTCACTTCATCCGTCTTGATCCTTAATGGTGTACATTCATCTTCCACGCGTGCAAGGAGGCGCATCTTCTTGGCCGATCTGTTTGTGCATCTTGCGATTGTGGGCCTGCCTTAAAGAGTTTGAAATTACCCCTCAGAGATTTGAAGCTGAAGTCAAGATGATCCTCCGACACTGAAACAACAGTCACGGGCTCACTTTGGAATGACAACAACATGTCAAATTATCAGTATCACTTAAAGTTTAGTATATATTTCGGAGGTGTGCACTCGAATTTAGACCAGTTTCTGAATGCGCTGATTTTCACTGAAGCTTGGCAATTTTGTATTGGTAAAGTCTTATCCAGGGGAGTATTATCGTCATCTATTACAGAATGGATGCAGCTTATCTGAACACGACACCTGTCTCGACCTCAGTGGTTAGACCTGGCCGCACGGAAACAACCATCCTCCTGGTTTACTTTCTTCTGGTCGTGATACTGGGAGTTCCCGGCAACTGCCTCATCCTCCGCGTGTACTGGGGCAAAACCAACAAGTCCAGCACCAATGTTCTCATAATGGGGCTGGCCCTCTCGGACCTGATAGTCTGCCTGACACGACCGTACGACATCGCTTGGTACTCGGCGCCTCTGACCAGTGCCGATGTGCCGAATATCTACAGTCGGTTCGACTGTTGGAACAACACGATCATCGGTACCTCTATCCTGATAACCGCTGTGATCGCAGTGGATCGCTACGACTGTATCTGCCGTCCCAACCGGCGCATCATGACGTACGCACGGGCCCGGAAAGCCCTTTTTGCAGCCCTTTCAGCTTCCGTAGCAGCCAACACCCCGCTTTACGTGCACACATATCTAGGCGCCGATGCCCCACCACCTCTGATTGTTGTGATGAACGCGCTGCAGATCATGGTGTTTGCAACTGCCCTGGTGACTATTTTGGTGTTCTACAGAAATGTGTACTTGACCATACGGAAACACGTTCAAATCGGGGCCGCACCGGCAAGAAGTGCTCAGCAAGGTCGAACAGCGTTGGCTTCTTTAGCCATTGCAACTGTGTCGGCGATGATGTTCATGCACATGAACGGCTTGTCTGCTCTCCCAACTTCAAATATTGACATCAAATTATTCAGGGTTCAGACACGCTTATCGAACAACCGTGAGACGGCTCAAAGCAGTGATATGCCAAGGTCGAGCAGAGGAGTTGCCAATGATGAGGCGAACATAAGCGAGAATCGGCAAAAACGAGCGCTTACACGGCCATTCCGCTTATTACCACCGCACATCGGGCGTAGACAGGCAACACCGACACTGCAGCGTCGGACCACCGCCATGCTGTTCATCACCAGTGTGGTATTCCTGTTATCGTGGCTGCCCTACTGGATCTTTTCCTTGTGTAATATATTTGGCGTGAACTCCGATTTGCTTCTGTATCTCCTAAATCTTCTCTACCTAAATCATGCCGTCAATCCGTTTATTTATGGCCTGGCCAACAAAAGGTTCCGCAAAGATTGTAGAGATGTTTTCCGGAAGTTGGGACGCTGCTAGAACCTTCAATTAACCATCGTGATACTGCGAGCCATCGATATTAATGTATTTGTTTGGAGACTGGTCTTGTAAGTCCAGGCAATTTGTGGGTGGAGATTTAGAAGAAGAGAAAAGGGGGGACATTTTCTTGTATTGAGATTTGGAGCTTGTGGGCATTATTAAAGTTGTCGCGCGTTACACTGTAAAACCTGATTGGTAAAGAGAATTTTCCAGATTGCCAAAGGATTTACTTCAATCAACAGAAAAAAAGTTGTAAATGCAAATTGCATATTAATGTGGTAATGACAACTTACATTAGAAAATTATTTTTTACAACTGAAGTGAGAAAACTTTTTTTTGTTCTGCAAAAGCAATTCATAACTCTAGATGTAAAAGTGAAAAACAGCCATATGTCTGGTGACTTTTAACCGCTTACTTTTGATGAAAATTACAGATTTCTTTTACAGCGTACCTACAGGGTGTCTAAACAAAAATCGAAACCTCAAAGTGTCCTCTTTTTAACGTTCTTTTAAAAAAAAAATGCATCGCAAATACATGTTTAGTGAGGTAGTCCATTAGCTTTTCAACAACAAAAACACCTTTTCAATCGGGTAAGTATTTCGGAGATATGGCCACTTGAAATCAAGTACCGCTTTTTCATTTTGTTCACGGCGACTGATATTTTGACTGCCGCAATAAAAATACTGAAAAGGCTACCAAGGGCAGAGACAGAGCAGCAAAGTAAACATCTAAGAAGTTAACCAAACAGTTCTTTTCAAAATGAACAAACTAAAGCAAGAAAGATTCAAAAATTACAGAAAGCAAAACGACCCTCATCTCAAATCCTTAAAAGTTTCTAACAAATGACAATTGAGACCGTGGACAGATTGAACAATCGGCTCTAATTGGAATTGCAAAGATGTTGAAAAGCTAATGGAATATACTCTCTAAGTATAGATATTTGCGATGTATTTTTTAAAAGTTGTGAAAAACAGGACACTTTTAGGGTTCGGGTTTTTGTTCTTTTGAGACAGCCTGTATCTACATAGGGAAGTCTGAGTACCGAGTCATTGTCGTTGCCAGCCAATCTGAAGTCGTCCGAAAGTCATTCGGCCTTAAGTCAAGCGATTGTGACAACAACCATTTCATTGACATTATCCAAGTCACAAATACGAATCGTAAAATTTGACTAGCGATTGACTTGTGGTCGAATTGTGATTGAAATTCTAATACAAAATCATAAAGGATAACGCTGAAAAGGATGTCACATTACTTTGCATCAGTTTACTTTCAAATTACTTCGCATCTCTTTATATTCTTTAGGCCTATACAGGGTGACCATAAAAATGTATGCAAGCAGATATCCTTTTATTTCCCAAAAACTACTTCACAAGAGTGTTTCATCTTGATGGAGCATATTAATTATTGTGAATCAGTGAGAATGCCATGGAAATCCATTCATGCAAGCCAGAGATCTAACAGATTGTAAGAGGCTGTGGGTTCTTTTTACCCATTCCAATGGGATTCACACGGTTAGTGATATCAGTGCATCAGATTTAAGTTAACTTCGTAAATCCCATCCCATTGGAATGGCTGAAAAACACATAGCCTTTTACAATCTGTTCTCTGGTATGCGTGAACGGATTTCCATAGCATTTTTACTGAATATAAACAAGAGTATATATAGTTAATATGCTCCATCAAGATAAAATACTCATGTTAAGTTGTTGTTGAGAAATTTCAGGATATCTGCTTGCACAACTTTTTTGGGGAACAGCCAGCGCTGCTTTCCACGTCAGTAATTATCTAAACCGGTATCAAAATACAAAGTGAATCGCCTAAGTAAAAGCAAACATTCGTGTTCCTATTTAGTCGCACCGCAGGTTGAGTTACCCCTAATGGATGCGTGGATATCAAATGGCTACACGTGGATCTGGTTGCATATTACCAAGCAAATTGAGTAAGCCTCCTATGGTGATTATGTCGTTTTGATTGTAATTAATCAAAGGTGATCGCGCATTAGCGGTGTTTGCAAGAGTGATGACATGCAGTGATGTTGAAAATGATGAGGCTTGCGCGTAATTTAAGGGCACGTGGGAATATTGCCCATTACCTAGAAACGGACCTAACGATTTCACGAGAGACAGTTTGCTCAGATTAGAGAAAGGATTGGTAGCGGAACCAAATATAATTTCATTATCATTTTGCCTGAAATGGACTTAATTTTCGAGGAAGCCATTTTGATCGTGTTCCCAGAAGCCATTTTGATAGTGTTCCCTGATTGTATTTTATAAATGGGATGGTGCCGGACTATTTATGCATTCTAGCCTCACTTTCAAGGTTTTTTTTACCATGATGTGGCTTAAAGGGAATGTACAACATTTGCTTTTGCTGCATTTGTCAGAAATAAAGGGATTTGGAGGATTCGTATTTCATAGCAAATAGTGTTAAACTGACTTGTTTCACGTTTTGTGCCATGCTGGAAAAACTAAGAAAACCAATCATGCTCTTGTAGTCTGGTTCCCTGAACCCAATCAATATGAAACGGAGCAATTTACAGACTTTGGGGAACGTCTTTTACAGGATTTTACCACGATTTTACAGGTTGTTTTAGACTGTCATTCCCTAACGATCCAGTAAGGTATTTTGTGTTAACCTATTTCTGTGACGTCACACTATTGTTAAAAGTGTAGATTATTTTCACAAATCTACACTTAACTGTAGATTATTTTGAGAATCTACACCTAACTGTAGATTCTAAACCTAACTGTAGATTATTGTATGAATCCACAGTTTTTGTTTAAAAAATTCCACGTATATTCCAGCACTGTATAATTCCATGTATAACTCTATGTATAATTCCGGCACTAAAAGTTTCGTGAGGTGTAGATTCTCAAAATAATCTACAGTTAAGTTTCAGTCCATTCTAATGAAAAGAAAAAGAACTGTTAATGGTACTCAAAAATGTACGAATTTTGTTGTTTTTCCCAAAAGAATTTGACGTGTACCTGATTTTAATAAATAACATACTGCTTTAGTTGGTTTATTTTTTTTACACAAAATGTTCTCATTTGATTTTTAATTTACCGTGCTGATATGTTTAATATAACATACGGTGGCAATTATAAATTGTAACCTAAAGCGCAGTGTTAAATATTCCTCTTTATGTTATTTGCAGATCCCTTTATTCTTATTTTAAGTCTTATTTCTTATTTTTATATTATTATCTATATGTTAATGCTGAAATTGTATTAATGCTAAAACAATTAATCTTTATTTTTTGTCTTTAAATAATTTTTTTGTCTTTAAATTTCCATTATAAAAAAAATCAGTGGATACCCCTCGGTAAACTTAGAATATGTACACATCTTTCATTATCAAAATGACAATCATAAATAGAATGGACGAATAACTAACGAAATCAAATGAAACTTACTCAATCATAAACGTCTCAGACTATATTCCAATGTAATGTATTTTCCAAGCAAAATTATTTCCTGTGGTGAGTGAGATGGGAATATTCCGATGTGTAGCCTACTCCACAAATATCATGATATCAAGGTAAAGAAATGTGGTTCTCGATTGAATGGCCAATGACATGTGGTTCCACAAATCAAAAAGCTCTATGCACAAATGAGTTGCTTGCCAACTTTTTCTTGTGCTCGGTGATTAAACTCCTCACATCAATCCCGTAAAAAACAGCATCAAAGTATTTAAATCCCCTAGAACTCCATTTGGCTTGGGGAGTAAGGAAAGACAGTGTGTTCGCACTAAACATGTGATCGTACGGTTATGTGCTTAGTCTATGGGAAAGTGTTATATTAGAGGGACAAAGGAAAACAAAATAGTTGTCCTCAGGCGTATAGTAAAAAAAGACTGTGCGTGCGTGTGTGTGTGACTTACGTTAACAATAGGACCTTGTTACGATGCAAGCACAGGGCCAGGCAAAGTTGACTAGATTGTGCAAATCTACACTTATTCACAAATGTGGTAAACCAGGGATCTTATTTGCATAATAGGTTAAGTCGGAGAATAGACTCGGAACTGTAGATTAGTGCAATTCGCCTCGTCCATTCTTAGCACGAATCTACAGTTCCTCGTCCATTCTCTATAACATAATTTATCATTTCATTTTCTGATGTTTGCAAATGTTGTATCTTCCCTTTAAAACTTAAGGTAAGTTTAATCACAAATTTGAAATTATTCATCCAAGCAGACTGTTTTGGTTAAAACTTGCGTCACTGTGAAATCAACTGAAATGACACGAAAGATTGATTTAACTTGCTCTTACTTGTAATGGTACGTCATTCATCACATAGCAACAATAACAGCCATTATCCCCCCCAAAAAATAATCGGTCTCTGGTCAGACCGAAGTTCCGGAGTGGATGCGGCGACGCGGTTTGTTTGTTTGTTTGTTTGTTTGTTTGTTTTTTGGTGGCTTTTTTTTTTCAAGCTTGAATTGTACAGACAAGATGGGTACTATTTTGCTTGTTTGTGTCCTCATTATACAATGTCCTCCATAATTTGCCTTGGTGCCCTTTATCATTTGTCTTGGTGCAATTTCCCCATTCCTTCGTGCTCCTTGGTACAAAAACTTGAGGAGGTGCGGCAATAGAGGGCGCTGTTGTAGCTTCCGTGTTAATTTGAAGAAAAAAAATGGTTGACGCGCATGATTAAAATCGACGCGCGCGCTGACCAGAGACCGAGCATTTTTTTTTTGCCTTATATACCTATTTAAGGGGTGTTTTTTTCAACACACGCAAGGCAGATAAGATAGCTTGATGTTAGCGCCCTCATGTGGTCGCTGACAGGAAGGCATTTATGCACAGTAGATTTCTCCTGACTATTTGTAGTTCACTTTATGTCATTGCTTTCATTTCTCATCGTAAGTTTCAAAAATGAAGATTCTACCTCGCTTTCAATGTAATATGCCCGACTCGTGCACAAGCCAATGGGTTGCGTAGAAGAAACAATCACTGAACATTGTTTTTATTACATTTGCCCACGGATACATTTTTTTTTAATTTGACGATATTTATTAATAAAATACTGTGAAGAATATCCTTCAAGTGTGACCCTGATGTCATGCATACTAATACCAGCAGAATTAGAGTCATGAGTTGTCTCGAAAGCAGTTTTACGAATTGTAAACGAGTGCGTGTTGTTCAGAATATGAAAAGGCAAATTTTGAAAACCAAGCTATAGCAATGAAATGCACTAGCGAGACCAAACATTTTGCAACGGGCCTTCTACACAAGTTGGCCATTTTGTCGTGTTCCCTGAATGTAAATTGTGAACTGTTGAATGGGATGGTGTCAGACTATATTCACTATAGCCTCACTTTGTTTTTGTTTTTAAATGTGGCTTAAAACATTAGAGTATGTTTAATCACAAATTTAAAATTATTCATCAGAGCAGACTGGTATTAACTTGTAACGTCATTGCTTTTATTTCTAAATTCCAAAAATGAAGATTTTACCTCATTCTCAATCTTATATGGCCGACTCGTGAATAAGGCCCATAGGTTTTAACTGGTTTGTCACATAGTCTGCACTGAGCTGGAACTTCAACTGGTCACTTCTAATGATGTTGTTTTCTTAGGATGATGAACAAGTTTGTTGCTTCAAACGAAACACAAATGCACTCAAATCAAATGATCCTATAGATGTGCCCTCAATGGCGGAGAAAACATTTCATAATTATTGATGTGCAGCCTTCACTCCGAACAAGTCGAGCTGTAACTATACAGTATAATTAAATTTAAAAATTCATACAGAAAATTTCACAAAGCGCACAGACTCAAACACGATTTAGAAATCCTTCGAAACAAATTACTGCAGAGATATTGTTCAGACTTCTAAAGGAAAAGTAATTACGTGTTGATCAATATAAAAAAACATTCAATTGGTCTCTGGCTTTTAGTCAGAGTCACTGTCATGAAAACGTAATTACTGCTTCACCAGAATTCTTTTATTATATCGGAAGTGTAGCTTCCTTTGTGCACTGATAAAAATGTGATTTGATTGCGTTTCAAGGCAGGAGTTTTGAAATTTGATATCCGATGTTTGCTGCAAGAGTTGCGGCTTTTTGAATTTGGTTAACACCAAAGAAAGAATAGGTCTCTCTGGGCAGAAAGCGAAAAGGGGACAATTTTACGGCGCTGGTTAAAAAGCCATCCAATCTGCAGTTGGGGAAAATGGGTCAATTCCGTGTTTCAAGACGTAGAGACGTAGACTTGCAGGGGCGGATCCAGGAATTTTAGCAGGGGGGGGGGTTCAAACAAATTGAAATGTAGACAGGTTTTTTTGCTTCCCGACACTTGGCCTCCGAAAATCATGAAGGGGGGGGGGGGGCTCGTACCATACTTTAAATCGGGCGCTGTTCAAATCCGACGATTATTAACACTATAATACAGAATAGTGTACAAATACCCCCTAACCAAGCTGGCTCTGTCTGTATTATATGTGAACAGGCGGACATTATTACCAGTATAATTTTTGGGTGTCAGAAGAGGGGGGTTCGTATTATTTTTAAGGAATTTTTTTTTTTTTTTTTTTTTTGGACAGAGCTGGGGGGTTTGACCTCCCCCCCCCCCCCCCCCCGTGGATCCGCGCCTGACTTGCTAACGCTTCTTCGCTCAAAAAGCCAGGCACGCCTTGCTAGGGGGTCTGGAGGCATGCCCCCCCCCCCCCTCAAAATGTTGAGATCTACGATGCTTTTTCCTGCATTCAAAGGAAATTAGAGTATAAATTTAAGAAACTTTAACATTCCATTTATTATCATTTGCTCCGATTTACTATCATCAATACACCAGTAAGCGGCTGACTGGGATTAATATCCGCCTGTGCACAAAATTCGAACAGAGGCAGCTGTGTTGCGGGGTAATTGTACAATATTTTGTAATATAGTGTTTATGTTCGTCAGATTTGAACAGCAACCCCATTGAAAACGATCCTCCCACGACCCCCCCCCCCCCCCACACACACACACACACACCTACTGATTTTATGGAGGCAAAGTGTCCGGAGAAAACAAACTGCCTACATGAAGCCCCCTCCCCTGCAAAACTTCCTGGAAACGCCCCTGATAAGATGGACACGTCTTCCTTGGTTTGCAGGTCGTGAATGCTTTCACTGATCAGGTCTCGTGTGCATTGCTCCGTCTTCTCCCGTAGTCTCGTGGCTGTCTGAAGTGGTCTGCCTGCGAGTGTATTACCTCTTCTCTAATGCATTTTACTGTCTCAGCTTATTACTTGCAATTTCCCCGACCCGGCACGAACTCATCTTGTGTCACATCGTGCAAGATTTGGGCAGTTCTCGATTTCCGCTTAACTTGGAGTGCTTTTCCACGAATGATAAACCATTTGCGACTTTGGTTTTCTTTTTTTATTTTGCATCCAAGTCACTATTTCTTAATGTCTATTCTGAGAAAGATGATCATGGAAAGATATATTCCGATAATACGTCATTTCTAGGTTTTCCAGGATAAAATTAGTTTTGCGAGAGAAGTTACATATTTTTTTCATTTTGATACATTCTGTTCTGAACTGTATATCCATTGGAAAGTTTGTCATTTCGTCTTTAAAGCAATGCAAGTGTGGAAAATTGTATGTGAATCTTTTGTTCAATGCGATCTTTATTTGTACATTATGTCATTTGCTACTCTGAAATAGCGTACCATTTTTATATGATAAATTTGACTTCATTACACCTTATATGTCTATCGACAATGGAGACTTCGCGCAAATTTTCAGTCGTAAACACCTTACACAATCGTTCTTGTTCAGCCTCATAACAAAAGAACAAAGGAAAAATTTGATGCTGAATTTTATTATGATCCTTTCCAGCGTCCCCAATTTAATTAATAAAGGCGGGAAAGACACAAGGTGAGCGATGGCACCATATACTGTGATTTAATTGTGCCTCCATAAACAGTTCCTGTACATATCCTGATTAAATTATCTCACAGAGACCTGCGCTGCTTTTTGATTTGGTGCAATGCACGATAATTTCCTTCAGACGAGCTCACGAAAAAGGTTAATTTTAATTTTGTATATCAGCATTTGAATTGTCTTCATCTGTCAGCAAGTTTCTAGATCAACACGCAATGCTTAATGAAGCCAAGTATTTACAAAGATGTTGAGAGAATGCTCCCAGTTCTCAGGAGATGCATGTTCAAACCACAAAAGGGTTTATAACGGTTCCGAAGCCGCTATATTTAATAGAGCCTGAAAGTTCACCCCTGATGGCGCGCTTCCAGAACCCTTCGATAGGAAAATTTACGTCCACACATTTCAGAAGTTGCCTTTTTTTTGGTTCATTGATTTCTTAAGAATGTCACCCCGAAAAAAGGGCCTTTTTGAAATCGTCACCTGCATATCAATGTATGGAAACTGATAAATCGCCTGACATGAAAGAGAAATATCAGGCCAAAATTGACCTCTCATTTCCGAAAATCTATAAATACATGATACGGACTAATGCAGCTTACGGGTTCATACCCCTAAATCGGTGTACGTAGATGAGAATTTCTGAAATGTGTCGTGGTCATGATGTGACAACCGACATTGAAATAGGAGACCTAGATGTATTTTAGGGTTTTCAAATTGTGTGAATAAACTTAAAGGACTCGTTATTAACAAGAAAAAAACTTAAGTTGACCGTCACGGGACTGAACCCAGGATCTGCTCAAGCCAGCCCCACTAAATCTAGAACCCATCGACTGTTGGGAAGTAAATCTCCGCAACGTTACACATTCTCGTTCTCAGGCAAGTACACGACATGCAAACAAACGTGCACGATCAAGGAGACCTGGGAACGACAATGTCGGATATGAAAGGTCGTACATAAAATTCGGGGTTTGTTTTACCCATTTCAAGTGATTTTTGTCCTCAATTTTTTGCTGAAATAATAATTAGATAAATTCTAACAGAAGTGTTTCTTGGGGTACTACAGTAAGAAATCACTCTGCCAAACATTTTAGCATGTGAAAGTTCAACCTATACAGTGTGTATAAAAAAAAAATGCAAACAAAATATAACGGAATGCCATGCAGATGTAGAATGTATAACTAACAGAGATAATGGTTTGAAAGATACGCCTTTCCACTTTAAAATGAGACATCCAACGTCCCAATCTGATACTTTTTGACAGAGGTATGAGTAATTTTCCAAGAGAGTTCAAATTGACCATGGGACCAAGTTTTCAATTTTAGGCATTGGGACACTGAACCTAATTGCCTCTGTGTGGTTTGGCAAGTAAACACAGCTCTAAACACTTTCTTGCTATCACCTCATGCTAAAAATGTTAAGCATGTAAAGTTTGTAAACATGTTTACACACTGACAGCATTGGGTGTTTAGAATAGTGTTTACTCGCAAACACATTTTTTGTCGGTCAGGCAATTATCCACACAGGGGCGGTTAGGCTACCTTCATCCCAAATGCCTAAAATTAAAAACTTGGTCCCATGGTCAATTTGACCTCTCTTGGAAAATTACTCATAACTCTGTTATGATTTGGACGTTTGATGCCTCAGTTGAAAGTATAAAGGCGTATCTTTCAAACCATACCTATAGTATATACAATGTTGGTTTTAAATTCTACGTCTGGCATTCCTTTATATTTTTTTTGATACATACTGTAGTGTAAAATGCCCATAGTCGGGCAGCGCGAGGGTTCCGGAAGATCGCCACGTGACCTGTCCCTTCCAGGCTCTATTCATCGCTGATAATTAACGAATTTCGCACGCGCATGGCCGTCGGTGATTGGTCAACCTCCACACAAGCAAGTTTGTAATTGGGTCGATCACATCGTCAGCGCGGTGCGTCGCAAGTATAATAGGTAATACTGCGGAAAATAGCTGCCAATGTGTTTTCTTCTGGCGCACCAGTAATGTTACAGCCGTATCATCCGCTATCTTCGTAGACAACTTAAGAAGGGGAATTTGAACACAGGTTTGTTGAGAGAAAATCCAGCCATGGAGAATACTTCAGTGCCGAATTCAACGGCTCTTTTTGAAAACGCAGAGTCGGATTCAGGCCTGTCTGACACGGCTGGAAACATATTCCAGCTGATTGTGCAGAGCGTCATTTTCTTATTCGGCGTGCCTGGTAACTGCCTCATACTCCGTGTCTACTGGACAAAGACTCTAAAAACCAGTACCCATGTTTTCATCATGGGCTTAGCCTGGGCCGATCTGGTAGTCTGCGTGCTGGCTGTGCATCGTATTTATGATAAGGTTGCTGATATGGCTGGCTATGAGGTTCCGCAGTTCACATTTATTATTTGGGCTCTTGATACAACAGCCATCGCAACGTCGATTATGATGACCGCTGTGATCGCAGCGGACCGCTACGACTGCGTATGCCGGCCACACCGCCGGTTCTTCACCCACAAACGCGGCAAGATATCAGCTTTTGCGGCATTTGTATTCTCACTGGTCATCAATATTCCTGCCTTCATACCCACAACCCCTGCCAGCAGGCAGTCATTGGGCCGTTTGCGGTTGGCATTCCAGGTCATTTGCTTCGTCGTGGCGCTCGTGATGATCGCCCTGTGTTACGGCAAAGTCTACATGACCATCAAGAAACACACCAAAGTCGGCGTCAAAAGTACCACTGGAGATCGCAGCGTCTCTCGATTAGCCGACGAATGGTCGACAAGGCTACAGGATTCCGTAATCACAAATGTGGGACCGAACATTCCTACCGTCTCTTCCGTGTCGACGTTGATCAGTAAACCATGCTCGAGCGCGGTAGCTGATGGCAGTAGAATGGCACTAAGCAAGGGACCATCGAGCCGCGAAATCGACGAATCGACCCTTGACGAAAACGGAATTAGATTGGCCAGTCACTCACAAGCGACTTTGACCAAACGTGTACTATTGTTGAAGGAGACAGAATCCCGTGTTGCGAATAGGAACAGTGACCCTAGCCAACGCCAAAGTAATGCAGAACGCGCACCACCAAAGACAAATGCAGCAGTTTTACAGCGTAAGACAACCAGGATGCTCTTCATCACCAGCGTTGTGTTTCTCCTGACCTGGCTACCCTACTGGATGCGTCTTGCCGCTGTGTTTGCGTCCTACTACGACCCAGTGTTTCGTATGATCCTCGAGCAGCTCTCCGTAACTCTCTACGTCAACAATGCCGTGAACCCACTGATTTACGGACTTGCCAACAGACGGTTCAGGAAAGACTGCAAGACAATTCTCAGTAAGATTAAGCTCTGCTAGAATGACACTAGTTAACGTGTCTTTTTGTCTTCATGCAGTTGATACTAATTGTCAGTGTACCTAAAAGACACCGTTTTTGACAAACAGAAAATAACAGAAATGACAGACCATGAACAAAAGGGGTGTTGTAGACTTTTAACCCCATCAGCACCCGGGTTTTTGGGTCTTCTCGCGGCCGGGGGCACAAATTGATCCCACATCCTTATATCCATAATTATGCGACTGCTGATTTTCTTAAAATTTTGCAGGAATGTTCACTTGTTGGTATTTTACTATAAGATGTCACTTGCTTGCGCTGCGGTACCAACAATAGGCCGCTTTGCTTTGTATTTGCCTTTTATTGATTTTAATGTGAACGAAGATGTATTTACCTGTGAGTCAAGTGGTATCTTGTGATCCAAAATTGAATAACAAACCCACCACCCCGAGGTTTTCGCGCTCGGGAGTCTACCAAATGGGCACTTGGTTTTGACTTGTTCAGGTAATACGATCTCTAAATATCTATAAACCTGTCGGTCAGTCATGTACGTGACGTCAAAAAAGACGCCGTTCCTCTTTGGCTGTCATAGTTCACGTGTTGGTTTGCCTTTCTCGTGAATGCTTTTACTGATCAGGTCTCGTGTGCATTGTTGCTCTCCCATAGCCTTATGACTGTATCACATGAAATGTTCTCACTTTGTACATACTTCACCTTATCTCAAGGTGTTTTACTGTCTCATCTTATAAGTTGAAATTTTCCTGACGCGGCACAAACTCAACTTGCTTCACACTGACAGAAGTTTATAGACACGCTTAACTTGAAAGGGTTGTCCATAAAATGGTTAACAGTTTGCGGCATTCGCCTTTTCCTGTTGTTGTTTGTATCCAAGTCTCTGTTTATGATAGTCCACTTTTAAGTAGGATTGTAATTATGAATATATATGGAAAGAGTTATCCAGATTAATTGAATGTTAGTTCTATGTTTTTACGGATAATTTGTATTTGGTGATAGATGAATCTTTCATTTTGATACAGTCTTTTCCAAACTGTATCTATTAGAAAGTGTCATGTCAACCTTAAAACTATATACATGATTATGACACAACAAGTTGCCACATTGAAACAGCTTATTGATATGACTTTTAAGATAAATTTGACGTCAACAAACCATTAGTCTATATACAATGGTGACTTCGTGCACCTTGCCGTCGTAAAGACCTTTAACAATCTGTCTTGTTCAGCCTCATCACAAAAAAAGGGGAAAAGAAACAAAAAACAAAGAAAAAAACAAGAAGATCATTAGTTTCAAACTCGGTCCTGAATGTTATTGTGATCCTTCCCAGCGCCTCCAATGTAATTAACATAGATAGGAAAGACATCAGAAGAGCGACGGCACCATTACCGCGATTAAATTGCGCCTGAAAACAGTTCCTGTGCAGAATAACCAGATTAAATTACCTCACATAAACCTACGCTGCTTTTGTCTTGGTAAAAAGCTTGATAAGTTCCTTTAGACCATTTCTACAAGTACTTGAATTGTCTTCGTCTATCAGCAAGTTTCTAGATGAAAACGCAATACTTAAAACGCCAAGTATGTACAAGAATGTTTATAGAATGCTGCCAGTTCTCCGGGGATGCGTGTTCATAACGAAGACGATAAAAGGTTAGGAAGCCGGTACTTAGGCTTCGCTGATTTTTATCAACGACTTTTGGAACGCGCATTTGAACGTGATTGGCCAACCTAGCTCTCAATTAACAAAAAGAAAAACGGGGCCGAGCACAATCCGTCGTCTCCGCTGTGCGTCGCATTAACGATATGCTGCGGAGATAGTGCGGGAGTTCTTCGGACGCACCAGTAGAGACAGACAAATTAAAGTCGTGACATCAGCTGCTCTTTTGAGACACCCTAACAAAGATAATTTTAACACAACTTTGTTGAGAGAAACTCAAGCCATGGAGAATACTTCAGTGGCGAATTCCACTTCTATTTTTGAAAACATGGAGTCTGATTCAGGCCTGTCTGACACGATTGGTGACCTATTCAAATTCGCTCGTACCCCCCGCCCTGCAAACAGGGCGCTGGTAAGGGCTGATGAGCTTCACAGAATCTTGTGAAGGAAGTACAGATTGACCTTCACATGCAGCAAGCGCGCTACGCATGATGGGCACCGGAAGCTAGTTTGTGTGACGTGTTCTACGTAATAGGTCACGCAAAATCTATCCAATGAGAGCTCAAATGACGTCAGCCCTGACCAGCGTCCTGTTTACAGGAAAGGGTGGGGCAACCTCGTACCCAGGGTGTCGAGCAGTACGCGCCCATCACTACCTGCTCTCTCACCCTGGTATTGGATCATTTGCATGTGCAAGATTTTTGAACACGTATGCAAATGACAAATAGTCTGGTGCCTGCATGTGCGTTACATTAGCGTTTGTTTTTGTATGCGGTGTCTGGGGTAAAAACAAAGTCAATTCGTAGCAGCGCGAGCATGGCGTGAGTTACGAAAACACGATTTTTATTCAATTAATCTGTTACGATCTTAACGAAACAATATGCAGTATCACATTTCATATTAATACATGTATTAACAAACTGGAAAGGAAATTAATATTTTCGAGAAGGCGTGGACAAATGATCGCGAAAACACGTACTGCACGTTGTGAATAACAACACCAAGTACACGATAAAAATCCATTACTAGCCAATTGCGGTCGAATCAGGAAACAGGAAGAAAGTTTCCTATCCAGGGTTTACTATTGGAAACCGTGTTGGAAATAAAGTAAGCACTGGGGACGAGGTTGGGGTGGGGGGTACGAGCGAACCTATTCAAACTGCATGTGCAGAACGTCATTTTCTTATATTGTGATCCTTCCCAGCGCCTCCAATGTAATTAACATAGATAGGAAAGACATCAGAAGAGCGACGGCACCATTACCGCGATTAAATTGCGCCTGAAAACAGTTCCTGTGCAGAATAACCAGATTAAATTACCTCACATAAACCTACGCTGCTTTTGTCTTGGTAAAAAGCTTGATAAGTTCCTTTAGACCATTTCTACAAGTACTTGAATTGTCTTCGTCTATCAGCAAGTTTCTAGATGAAAACGCAATACTTAAAACGCCAAGTATGTACAAGAATGTTTATAGAATGCTGCCAGTTCTCCGGGGATGCGTGTTCATAACGAAGACGATAAAAGGTTAGGAAGCCGGTACTTAGGCTTCGCTGATTTTTATCAACGACTTTTGGAACGCGCATTTGAACGTGATTGGCCAACCTAGCTCTCAATTAACAAAAAGAAAAACGGGGCCGAGCACAATCCGTCGTCTCCGCTGTGCGTCGCATTAACGATATGCTGCGGAGATAGTGCGGGAGTTCTTCGGACGCACCAGTAGAGACAGACAAATTAAAGTCGTGACATCAGCTGCTCTTTTGAGACACCCTAACAAAGATAATTTTAACACAACTTTGTTGAGAGAAACTCAAGCCATGGAGAATACTTCAGTGGCAAATTCCACTTCTATTTTTGAAAACATGGAGTCTGATTCAGGCCTGTCTGACACGATTGGTGACCTATTCAAATTCGCTCGTACCCCCCGCCCTGCAAACAGGGCGCTGGTAAGGGCTGATGAGCTTCACAGAATCTTGTGAAGGAAGTACAGATTGACCTTCACATGCAGCAAGCGCGCTACGCATGATGGGCACCGGAAGCTAGTTTGTGTGACGTGTTCTACGTAATAGGTCACGCAAAATCTATCCAATGAGAGCTCAAATGACGTCAGCCCTGACCAGCGTCCTGTTTACAGGAAAGGGTGGGGCAACCTCGTACCCAGGGTGTCGAGCAGTACGCGCCCATCACTACCTGCTCTCTCACCCTGGTATTGGATCATTTGCATGTGCAAGATTTTTGAACACGTATGCAAATGACAAATAGTCTGGTGCCTGCATGTGCGTTACATTAGCGTTTGTTTTTGTATGCGGTGTCTGGGGTAAAAACAAAGTCAATTCGTAGCAGCGCGAGCATGGCGTGAGTTACGAAAACACGATTTTTATTCAATTAATCTGTTACGATCTTAACGAAACAATATGCAGTATCACATTTCATATTAATACATGTATTAACAAACTGGAAAGGAAATTAATATTTTCGAGAAGGCGTGGACAAATGATCGCGAAAACACGTACTGCACGTTGTGAATAACAACACCAAGTACACGATAAAAATCCATTACTAGCCAATTGCGGTCGAATCAGGAAACAGGAAGAAAGTTTCCTATCCAGGGTTTACTATTGGAAACCGTGTTGGAAATAAAGTAAGCACTGGGGACGAGGTTGGGGTGGGGGGTACGAGCGAACCTATTCAAACTGCATGTGCAGAGCGTCATTTTCTTATTCGGCGTGCCCGGTAACTGCCTCATACTCCGTGTCTACTGGTCGAAGACTCTAAAAACCAGTACCCATGTTATGATCATGGCCTTAGCCTGGGCCGATCTGGCAGTCTGCGTGTTGGATGTGCATCGTATTTATGATAAGGTTGCTTCCATGGCTGAGTATGAGGTCCCTGAGTTCTATTATATTATCTGGGCTCTTGGGACAACAGCCATTGGTACGTCGGTTATGATGACTGCTGTAAACGCAGCGGACAAAAATGACTGCATATGCTGGCAACACTGCCGATTCTTCACTCACAAACGCGGCAAGATAGCAGCTTGGGCAGCATTCGTATTCTCACCGGTCATCAATATTCCTGCCTTCATCCCCAGAACCCCTGGATCTAGCGAAAGTCAGTCCGTGTCCCTTTGGAAGTTGGCATTCCAGGTTATTTGCTTCGTCCTGGTGCTCGTAATGATCGCCCTGTGTTACGGCAAAGTCTACACGACTGCAAGAAACACACAGAAGTCGACGTCAAAAGTGCAACTCGAGATTGGAGCGTCTCTCGATTAGCTGTGGAATGGTCGACGAGGCTTCAGGAGTCCGTACTTACAAAAGACGAACCGAACCATTCCGCCGTCGTTTCCGTGTCGAC